GTAGCTACGTTTCAACTTGACTGTTCTTACCAATCAATTTGTTTCGTTGTTGCAGTTCCCATTTCTCATGAATGTCTTGCTTATAACCGTTTTGTCGAATAGACGAATAGGATGAAGAAGGCAAAAGGCAATTTCGAACAACGTACATTATTGCTGTGTCAGTATGCTATGGAAGAAGTCGATTGTGCACATGCAAATCTGACGCTATTACTGAAATTAATAAAAGCGGAGTTACAAGAAAAGCAGACTTCCTGCGCGTCCAAAAGAAAAAAAAAAAGAAACAAGGAGAGCGTCGTGGTGCAAAAAAAATGATTTCGGTCACGTCATATACGGTACACAAATTCCGATTGTTAGCGCCCGGACGACTATAGTCTTCGTCGCCTTCTACGATAAAAGTCGGCACCCTTTGGACCGCCGTCAGCAACTCTTTCCATTTTTCACTCTACTTTCTTTTTATTTATTAGGAGGAGCTACAACGTCGCGTTCTTTCTTCCTCCTGCTTTTATATTTTCTTTTGTGTGTGTGCGTGTGTGTGCGTTTGTTTACTTGACGTTCGCACCATCGCACATTTTGTTTTGTCTTGTTTGAACCTAGTTTTTGCTTTCTTTTCTTCCCTTCGGCGCTTACTACCGCCAGTCCGTCTGCTACGCTGTGCCCGGGCATTTTGAGGGATGTCTGCAACTTTGTTGTTTTCTTCTACTGTCGCCTGCGATGACCTCCTATTTTCGCCTTCGATTGAGCTTCTAATCCGAAATCTTCATACGTGCCTTTTTGGTATTTATTAAATATATTAGAAACTGCAAGCTCTTTATACATTTATATTCGAATTTTATTTGTCTACGCCGGAACGTCTGCTTTGGGTCATCGTTTGTTGATCAACCGGCCACTTGCAAAGTTTGGAAAGTGTTTGCACGGTCATTTTCTCGTTACTTTTTTGTTTTTGTTATGCTGCAGTGGCTGGTTCGCTTGCTCTGGTAATCTTAACATGTTGTTTGCGCACGTTTTAATGATCAGCTATTTAGGTAAGAAACTGTGACAACGCAGTCTGTAACGAATCAACAGTAACCTCTCACGACGAAGTTCGAGCAGCTAAACGCCTTTCTTCCGCTTCCCAGACGCGCTCTAAACTTGTGTGATCCCCTGAGTGGCGTTTGAGACCGCTAGATAGACTGCTCTATCTTTGTTTATGTGCGCGTTGTTATTTGATTGTCATTGCGAGCTCGTTCTGAGCACGACCACTGAAGCAGGCGTTGGAGCAGACGATGTAGCAGACGATGGAGCTCATCCGAGCTACCTGATGACGTTTAGAGGAGGAAACACGCAGGCCTTGTGTTCTAGGTGGTATTGACCTAGAGCGCTATATAGCTTCTACGGAGCAGAGTAGCGCAATCCTTTGATCCGCGTATTTCACCGACAACATGGCCGACAGAGGAGCTCGGCGCGAGTGACGCGGTACTCAGGGTTCCATGAGGCGGCCCGCCCTATGCGAGAATACATGGAGATCGACTCCAACACGGCTAATTAAAAAATAAACGCCAAGTTCACACTTTTCGAAACTAGTTTCTCGTGAAGTTGGTAAAGCATTAAACACTTTATCAAAGTTTTAATAATATTGGATGCCTGTAAAAGATTTGCGGAGCCGATTTTCAAAGCAATAATGTTTGAAGCAGACGATAGTTTTACGCAGCGGAGATGAACTTTATGGATTGGCCGGAGCGGGTCACGTGAACGGTGTGTCGTTGACGCATCGTCTGCTGCATGATGCTGCTGGGGCAATTAAAAAAACAAATTAAGTTATTTCATGGCGCACAACTTAGCGCAAATTATTGTAAACTATTCCCTTATTAAGTCAAAAACTTTTTTCGTCCCGTAGATCCCCTATATAATCAGGAAGCATCGATTTTCTCACGTTCCCCATGCACTTGTGACCGGAGTTGGAACCCCCGTGCGTTCGCCGCTAGTCGCCGAGACACGGCGTTCTAGATTGCGATACTCTGCTCCGATTGAGTTATATAGTGCTCTAGGTGCGCCCTCTCAGATGGCAAACCGTGCCGTCGCTCTGTAGTGACTCCAACTTTGACAAGCATTTCTTTCCCTTTCCCATTTTGAACACCAATCCACCCGCGTTTAATTTAACTATCCCCTACATTCTGTTGCCACCTGTACGCGTACACCTCCTAGCGGCTCTCACTTTTCCCCCTCATTTCCTTTTACAAGGCCGACACACATGAAATGGCCCACTGAAGTGCACCGAAATTACTCGAGGGCGTGCCTTGGAGCAAATAGTAGTAGTTTTGGACCACATGTAGACAAAAGTGATCAAATTCAGTAGAATCTGTGGTATTAATTATCACTGAATCAGCAGAAATTTGAAGAAATCAGTAGATCTACTGATAAATCAGTAGGAGAGACGACACTCTGTGTACCGCCCGACGGACGCGCCTACTCTCATCCCTCGCGACGAGGCACGTGACAACGACACGTGACGACCGAAAGCGCTGATTGCTTGGCTCCGGTTTAGACTCTCTTGCAGATACCATGCTCGAACGCAAATATCGAGCACCTCCAGGTCGCTGAAAACTCCGAAAACGCGGCAAAATACGCCGCGTTTCGCGAAAGAGGCGCAGGAAGCGACGTAAAGGCGCCCGCGCCTCGAGTATGTGTTTGTGGTGTCCAATAAACAGCTCGAAGCTGACTGACAACAGAAAGAATAAAACTAACTCCGGACAAGGGGGAATCGGTGGCCGAGTGGGCTAGCGCACACCAGCTCGGAGCACGTGGAGCGAAAGCTCGCGCTGCAGAACCCTGGGATCCTGGGTTCGAGCCCCACCCTTTCCCGTTTCGATCTGGATGAGCATCGTACCGGCGTGCGGTCGTGTATCACTACTGCGTGGTGCACGTTAAAGACCCCAGGCTTGCGGTTGTACTGCACTGGCTATATTGCTCATCTACAGCTGGGAGACTCGTCGCCCCTGTGAGGCAGACCAAGTTCTAGGCTGTATAAACATACACACAACCCAATTTTAATTTTTTAACTCCGGACAAGGGACGACGAACATTTCTTTCAACTGGCAACAACATGAATGAGCCCAAAACCACTCCCTGCAATTCAGAACCGCCAAGAAAAGATGAGAGAAAAGGTGTGCAGTGTATTATGTGCGTGTTCGCCACGTCTAACGAACACGACCTATTGAGCCCAACAACGCCGGATGTAACCGGAGACGCCGGAGGGAAGGGCCAGGCGGCGGGCAACGGAGATGCACGGGACGCCTGGAGGCAACAGTCTGGGCGCTGACCAGACAGAAAAAGAGATCATTGTTGCCAACACGCTCTGCAGTTAATGCTCGAAGCTCATAATTACTTACAGCGCGACTGGGACAAGGACAGACAGAGGAGAAACACAGAAACACAGGACAAGCGCTGAACTACCAACTGATTCTATTGAAAAGAAAAGACATGTGGTGCTGCTGCTGCTCGTGCAGGCACGCCCCTCCGGGGCCCTGGCGCTTCTTCTTTCACTCAATGCGAAACCGGCCAAGTTATCCGGTTTCGCATTGAGTGAAAGAAGAAGCGCCAGGGCCCCGGAGGGGCATGCCTGCACGAGCAGCAGCAGCATCACATGTCTTTTCTTTTCAATAGAATCAGTTGCTAGTTCAGCGCTTGTCCTGTGTTTCTGTGTTTCTCCTCTGTCTGTCCTCGTCCCAGTCGCGCTCTAAGTAATTATGAACTCTTACTAACTCGCCCAATTGTCCATTTTGCTCGAAGCTTTGTTTTCAAGCTCGCCTTTCTTCACTCTTTTGTCGCCACTCGTTCTTGATCTTTTGGTGGTTGTCCAAACAACCCAGACTTTGGCGGCAAAATGAGTAGTTTCGTATGCCGTATTTTTGCCGGTGAATGAGACATCTGCACACTGGTGCGTGTGTCTCGATCAATTAGCTAAGGATGCGATCTTGAAAGTCGGTCATGAACAAAGCCTGGTCCAGTCAGGGCTTGCGGGCCAGCAAGCGACAAGGGTCATCGTTGAAGTTGACAAGTTTCGTCTCCAAAGTGCCAAAGGTATGAATTCCATGATTTCATATTATTGTAACCGCCTTTAACTGCAGCACATTTATTTCTGCTTAATATGATTTTCTACGTGCACAGATTGTCTACCGAATGCTCGGAGGTAACATTTTCGACGCTTTTCCAAACTACACTCGACTGTCATGTCGCGAAATGGGTTGTATCACAATCGGGGTCCAATTCTGCCATAACTATTTCCGATGGAAATAAAAGAAAAAGTATGTTCTTAGTTTTGAAATTTCCTAGCGACATCGGAGCCTCTGGTTTCAATGCGCATGTTTCACGCTAGATAAGATTCGCCTGGCAAAGCTACTCTGAAGCTATCGTTGTGGTTTTCAAGGCCTTGAGCCCATATATATCTTGTATTCTCCTTCGCCATTTTGATATAATATTTACGACGGATGATAGTGCAAAAAAATCCAAAATGTTTGTCAGATAAATGTTGATATTCAACAAACCATATTTCTGGAGGACCTTAACGATGCCTTTTTGTGTTGTGTAACTAGGAGGCAAGCCCCGGGCCGTCGCAAGTCTCTTCAAGCGGAGAGTTAGCAGCACCAGTGCTGACGCCCGAAAATGCAGCCACGCTCCAAGCCGAGGAAGACACAAAAAAGGCCATCTAAACAAGTCAAAATGACATTGGGATGTTCGCTAACCGCACAGATATTTCTGATGACGTCAAGAAACGGGTCTATTCTAAACTATGGACGCCGCCGCTAAACTATGCGTTCGATGTGTCACTGTCAAAGATTGGCAAGAAACGCACTTTTCAGTCCCATTGGCTGCAGCGCTACAAGTGGCTTGAATACTGTGATGTGCCAAAGGGCACATTTTGAAAGACGTGTGTCCTCTTTCACCTCAAAACGGGGTCTGGAAAAGGCTATCACCAAGAGTGCAAGAGCCTCGTGACATCACCCTTTACAAGGTGGAAGGACGCCATGGAGTCGTTTGAAAACCACTCAGGGACAGACTACCATAAGAGGGCGACTGTTGACGCCCAAAGTTTTCTCGATGTGATGACAGGCAACGTGGACAGCAGCCAGATGCAGCTCAACAAGCAAGCCAAAGAAGAGCACAAAAGCAACAAAGCCAAGCTGTGCGCGATCGTTGAGACTGTTCTGCTATGCGGCAGACAAGACCTGGCACTCAGGGGTGACAAAGATTCTGGGCGGCTGACTCTGGAAGAATCGGTCAAATACGACGGCAAATTCAGTGCACTGCTTCGCTACCGAGCAAACGGAGGGGACTGCACCTTGGCTGAGCACATTCGGACAGCCGGAAACAATGCTCTCTACACAAGCCCTACAATCAAAAATGAGATCACTTCAATAATCGGGAACCTAATACAAGATAAAATAGTGGAAGCCGTACATAAAGCCGGATTTTTCGCGGTGATAGCTGATGAAACGTCAGACGTGTCGCAAACCGAGCAATTCTCCTTGTGCGTGAGATACGTGGAGCCTAGCACCATGACAATACGAGAAGAGTTCCTTTGTTTCGTGGCCGTCGAGGATGTTTCTGCTTCCAACTTGGCTCACACACTGAAACACGAGCTTCTAAAACTTGGGTTGAATTTGAAGTTGATGAGAGGTCAGGGGATACGATGGTGCCGCGGCTATGAGTGGGGCATTCCGCGGTGTGCAAGCGCTGATTCGCGACGAATTTCAACTGCGTTGTACAGGCACTGCTCATCGCACTCCTTCAATTTCTGTCTAAGTGACGCCTCGGCTGTTCAAGACATCAAACGGGCCTTTGGCACATTCAGCGACATTTGCTAATTTTTCAGGGCTTCCCCGAAGAGGACTGCTCTTCTCAACAGGCACTTTGAAGAGTCGTCCCGGTCATTCTGTCGACTACGGCGATACTGTGAGACGAGGTGGGTGGAGCGTCAAGAAGCCGTTTCTCTGTTGAGCGAAGCACTGCCTCAAGTAGTAGCCGCTTTGGAAGACCTCATGGAAAACTCCCGTGACACGAGAAACACTGCAATTGCGTCTGCTCTCCACCACCGAGTGTGCTCCTTTAACTTTCTCATATGTCTCGCTGTAAGTGAGAGGTACTTGGGGCTCACGCATCACCTGTCGGAGTACCTGCAAAGCACTTCTGTAGACATGAGCGTCGCCTTAGAACACGTCGACTTGGTACTAACTAAATTGGAAGAAATGTCCACTTCTTCTGAAGCAGAATTCAACTAAAGTTTTGATGCCTGTGAAAAATCAGCGAATGACTTTGGCGTAACTTGTGAGATGCCACGAGTAGTAGGCACTCAAAAGTATCGAGCTAACCAGTCTGCAAGCTCCGCGCGAGAATACTACAGGCGAGCGACGTTCATTCCCTACATCGACGATCTGCGGGCTTCTCTCGAGCGCCAATTTGCAAGCCATAGATCAACGCTCAAGAGCCTACAGTTTGTTTTGCCAAGACAAGCTGCCAAAGGTAACTTCGAGTCTGTGCAGCCGGCATTCAAATTTTTCACCGAAGACATGCGAACAGCACACATTCCAGCGTTAAGAGGAGAATGGGAAATTTGGAAAGCGAAATGGCAGAGAGCAACAGAGGAACAATTGCCGCGGTATGCGACAGACGCGCTATTGCGCTGCGAGGAGAGCTTGTTTCCCAATGTACACACCCTGCTGAAGATTCTGGCGACACTGCCAGTGACGACTGCGACTGCGGAACGCAGCTTCTCCACTCTCAGGGGGCTGAAGACGTACCTGAGAAACCGGACAGCTGAAGACCGACTTAATGCGCTGTCTCTAATATCAGTTCACAGAGCGTCAGTAAACGCCGACGAGGTAATCACGAGGTTTATGGGGAACCCACGTAAAATGAAGATCACAATATAAGTTGTATGCTTAGACTAGTTGCAAAGACAATTCTACTATCATATTGTTCAAGAGAAAATACAACAATCACTGAAGCGTTTGCAGCACTATGTTAATATATTTTTTTTTTCATTTGTTCTATGCAGTCCTATTTTCCATGTTAAGACGACCGTGTTCATTTTTTTTATTTTAAACTTCGTTTTGTGCAGGACGTTCGCACGTGTAGACCAACGTGTTAATTTTTTTTTTATTTTAGTGTTTGCTTTGTCAATGACTTTCATTCATGTACTTTTTCCCTCCAAAATGAGTCAGGCGACACAGCGACAGGCCCTCGCGAGCTGCAGCAATAAAGCTTTGAATCCTGACTTCCTTCTTTTTTATGAGATAAAAATGTTATTAAAATGCCCTACTATTATTAATATTAAATCAATTTTAAAATATGAAGTATTGTCGCTAAAATACAATTCCAGGGAAACAGTAAAACAATTTCACTTATTATGCTCAGTAAAAAAAAAAATTAGGAAAAGAAAGTACAACTACGGGGTAAATTAAGAAGCAATAAAGCGAAATGAAATCAAAAGAAGTAGTTTAGCCTAAAAATATCCTTTTGTGTTTTATAGGCTCTAATTGAAGGTGCTTTTCTAAAAAAATGATCTGCTAGTCTGGCTCTTGTATATTCAATCCTACCATATGCCAATATTTAGATGAGCATAGGTGGACGAAAAAAAGCGTAACATATAATTTAAATTGGGGCTAGTAGAGAGAGTTCATTTAACGCATTAAATAATGTTGCCATCCCACCCTGAAAACAAATCCTGGCTACGAGTCTGTACCCTTACCATTTATATGGCTAATCTGACGGCGAGGGCTTCGCAGCGGTGGCGTTGCGAAGTGCTCAATGTTTTTTTAGCGAGACATGGGAAATGTAATGGGATGGCAATGTCTTACTGATAAGTAATTAAAACAATTGTCTTTTACGACAGTAATTAGTAATGCTAATTTAGGAATCATTAGCTTGTGGTCTACAATATTTATGATGCAACGGGGACAAGTTTGCTCCACCGATAGCTCGACCCCCCCGAAAAAAAATCCTGGCTACGCCTACGTGCCTGTGGAAGAGCAAACATTGATCTCATTAACATCAGCATCAGGTCCCTTCTGGATTCATGTATGCCTAACGTTTTGGATCGCTCTGGGCAGGAGAATCGGATTCTTTTCAAAGAAACGCTACTTGCCCTAATAGATAGAAACATACCGCTAATACAGTTTCGGGAGAACCAGTCAGCACCATGGTACACTCGAGACCTTAAGTCGCTCTGCAACCGGAAGAAACGATTGTACCGACGTGCACGACTTCTTAACACCGATCAGGCCTGGTCCTGCTTTTCTGTTGCTGTCGCACTGTAAGAGTCAGCCTTCGAGAAAGCCAAAGCACAATTCTACCAGCACGATTTTGCCGCTATCCTCAAAAGTAACCCTCAGGAATTTTGGAGCATAATTAATCCCCATTATCGTAAACCAGGCTCTTTAGTAAATGGCAATGGAATTTCCCTTACCGATAATGACGCTGTTGAAACGTTTTGTGACGCATTTTCTGCCGTGTTTAATAATACAGTCATCACATCACCGCCAGATATTTCATCACTGTCCGTGCCACCTATGCATCCATTTACGTTTTCGTAAAATAGCATTAGCCAATTAATAGACGCGCTCGAAACGTCATCGTCACCAGGAGCTGACGACATAAACAGCAAAATATTAAAAATGACTAAACCGCTGTCAACGTGTTTTCTAACATCATTATTTCAACAATCCTTAAATACCGGTAATGTTCCCGACAAATGAAAAGAAGGTAAGGTCGTTCCGGTTCACAAATGTGGCGATGCGCACTCCCCTCTAAATTACGGGCCCATAGCATTAACTTCTGTATGCTGTAAGCTCATGGAACACATGCCATTCATTCTCAAGTTATGCAATTTCTGGAACAGGATAAATTCTTTTTCCCCAATCAACGTGACTTTAGAAAACACCGTTCATGCGAAACGCAGCTGGCTGCTTTCTGTCACGATATTCATTTTTCTCTAGAAAAGTGTCACCAAGTTGATGCCATTTTCCTCGATTTTTCTAAAGCCTTTCATCGCGTTTCCCATAAACTTCTACTAGCAAAGCTGTTTGCACTGTCTCTTGACTCTTGTGTTCTAGCCTGGATCGAAGGCTTTCTCACCTCTCGAAGCCAGCATGTGCAAATTAACAACTGTCGTTCCCGAAGCGCTCCTGTAACCTCTAGTATATCACAAGGATCTGTTCTTAGACCCCTACTTTTCCTCGTGTATATTAATGACCTCCTTCTTTCATTGTCTTCGAACGCTCGTTTATTTGCTGATGACTTCGTAGTCTACAGAGCCATATCTAACACAGATGACTTGCATCACCTACAGGCTAATCTAGACCGGATTAACGATTGGTGTTCAAAGTGGCAGATGCTACTAAATACATCAAAATCCAAATGCCTCTCTTTCTATCCAACTCGTCAACATTTTCACTCTTACTACTCTGTTGGTAATCTTCATATTGATTCGGTGTCGACTTACAAGTATCTTGGCGTTCACTTCACTCACAGCCTTTCTTGGAAAACCCGTATTAATACTATCATATCCTGCGCAAACCGCACTCTTGGTATCCTGCGCCGTAATCTTCGTTTCGCGTCCTGATCTGTGAAGCGATTTGCATATGTCACATTGGTACGTCCAAAACTAGAATATGCATCGTCAGTCTGAGACCCCGATCTTAAATACCTGTATCCGACTTAGAATCAGTTCAAACTCGTACCACTCGCTTTATAACGTCTCAATACTCTAGGTTTCTTAGTGTTACTGAACTTAAACAAAATTTATCATTAACCCCTTTGTGTTCACGCAGGCGCATCGCTAAATTAATTATTTTCTACAGGTTTTACTTCGACGATCATCCACACAATTCATTCATCTTGCCACTTCATCGCATATCACCTCGAAGTGACCACCACGCAAAAGTTGGCCTTTTTTCACTCGAAATACAGCATCCCTTAAATATTTTTTCCCGGCGACATCTGTGGACTGGAACAGCCCGCCCGAAGCCATCGTCTCTGCTCAAGACTTCGATTCGTTCCACCAAATGTTAACCTTGCTATTTTTAACCCACTTCCTTATGTAATACACTGACTCAGAGTTCTTAAGGTATTTAAATGAATAAATGAATAAATAAATAAATAAATTGCCGTTTAACGTGCATTATGCCAATGCATGTGAATTCGGCACTTTTGTTTACTTTCTCAGGATTCCCCCAGCTCTTTTTCCTACCTTATTATTTACCTAAAGACACTGAATTGTTTTTTATTGTTATGCACACAAAATTAACAGTGGATATAAGTAACGATCGCCTCTGCTGCTTCCTTTATTAGATCTTCCTAAATTTAACAAAAGGGCTTCGTAACACCCTTCGGAAACACGGCAAAACAAGATCTGTCATGAAATCTGTAAAGTCTAAACATAACCGGGGAAACTGGAGAACAGTGCCGCATGATTGAAGTATTGCTCACAAAAAGACGGCAAAGAACTGTTTTATGGAGCCTGTCACCGTACTTGGAAGCCGAGCTAGCCGTGACTTAGGCATTAAAAAAGCGAGAAATAAGTCAAATTGTCGACAACGAGAAGTTCTTTTACGCTCCTACAATGCGGTACCCAGAAGAATGAAAATTTATACCTTATATCAGTTGAAGCCCATTTGCCCTTGTGCTAACATGTCGAGGAAGCCTCAAAAGTGGTTTGGTGCAGGGGTGGGTTGCAGTCTGAAAATGTGTTCTCAACCAGTGAAAGTGTTGTCTTTTGCAAAGCAAAAACCATTGGTTTAACATGCTTCTTTAAGAGCTACTGCTTATCGACATAGGGTACAACCGCGGCCGCCAAGAGCTGAAACGG